AATAAAGGTCATGAATCAATACATTGATTGACAAGTCTCAGTGATACTGAAGGAATCCAGAGGTATAGTTTTTGCTTGGGCTACAGAAGGAGTCTTTTGTCTCCAGAGCTGAACTAAGTATTCCTTAATATTCTGACAGTTTGGCTGTTGTAATACATAAGTAATACATACTTAATAGTAGTTCCCATTGAGTGGACATGTACATGATTTCATTGTCTGAGTAGGAATTAATCTTCAGGGAGGTGAGGGCTGGAGTTAAGGCACTTAAGAATGATAAACCAGAAACACATAAAACAGAAAAAACAAGTTAACTTGTGAAACTCAATTTTAATTTTATTTTTGAAGTGTAAATGTCCAATTACAAATAAATAATTCATACAGTATAACTCAGTTATAACAGACACATTTTCAGGCAGTTCAGAACAACCAAGATCAATGAATTTACATTAAATAACCAATTACTACATCAAACAACTGGTTATCCAGTTACATTTGCAGCTTGGTCTAAATATGTGTACAGCCATTTAAAAAGTTCCCTCCTTTTTGCCAGTTCAGAAGACAACAGATGCAAACAATTTTCTTACAAGCCCAGAAGAACACACAGATTACACTTACTTAAAAATAATGGGAAAAAAAGAATTCTAAAGCTGAAAGAAAAACCAAGCTTGCACATTTTTTTCAGCAGTTATTTTCTAATTATGTCTGTTCTGTTGAAATTGCTGCACAAGTTCTTAAGTTATTGAATGAAACATCTTTGTGTTTCATTGGCAAACATTTTTCTTATCTTTATTAAAAAGTCAAAGCCCACAGAACACTTAGAGGCTTCATTTTGACTTTCAATTGCACACTGCTTTTAGCTTTAACTTGAGCAAAACATTTTCCTGCTAAAAAGACAGCTTCCCCTTGAGGTAATCAATGCGTTATCTGTAAACTGCAACAGCAGCAGCATCAGTAGAACCACTGAAAAGTGTATCCTGATATAAAAGGTACAATCACTGCCACTTTAGTCTTTTTGATGGACTTTTGCATGGAGCTCCCTCACAAATATTGGTAAAGTTGGAAAAAAGCAGTGCTTGCTTGGTTTGTTTCATACACATCTGCATGCACACACACACACGCACACAAATCTTTTTGGAGGATGCATGCAATTCTTAGACCCTAAAGTATTCCAAAATGCTAAAAACGGACACATATCTGGGCACTCTTAAAGGTTTATTTCCTTATAGTTGTTATCAAATTCATGGGAGAGTCACATTCTTGTCCTGAGGCCCTTACCATTACATATGCTGCTTCCAGTGGGAAGACAACAGGGCAGTGCAGATGCACAAGATTACCCCAATCCAGAGTTGTATTAGTCACTAAATACCATGGTTGGCTTAGAGCTGCACCGTAAAGAAGTAGGTCCCCCATGGCAACAGATGGGTGTGAAGGAGGCCTTAACGACTCTTAATGCCAAAATCTACCTTGCAAAACTTTACACTGGGAAAAGTAAATGCTCTAAAGTGGTCTAAGGCAGGGATTGGGAAGGTGAGGCTCTCCAAATGCTGCTGAACTGCAACTCCCATTATCGCTCTTCATTGGCTATGCTGGCTAGAACTAATCGAAGATCCGGCCCAACACTATCTGCAGTGCCATGGCTTCCCTGCTGCTGGTCCAAGAGCTCTGCAAGAGCATCTCCAGGTAATAATCACATAGCTTAAAAAAAAAAAAAAAAGTGCAAAAAGCAGTACTAGGAAATTCAGGTCTTAGGCAGAGGAATTAGTATGTATGTTGGGGGTGGGGGGGACGACTGAACTTCTCCTCCAGCCATTTTCTCATTCAAGATTGCCCTGCTCATCAGTTGTTTAAGAAAAAGGGTGGGGGGGTTTTGTTTGTTTTTTTGTTTTACCTGTGGATGAAAAGCAAAGTGGAGGCGATTTCAACCAGAAAGAAGAGAAAGCTGAGCAGGACCTTGGCCCTGCTGTTTGCTCATAACTGGAGCTTTTCATTAAAAACAAAACTACAAAGTGGTCTCTCTCTCTCTCTCTCTCTCTCTCTCTCTCTCTCTCTCTCTCTCTCTCACACACACACACACACACACACACACACACACACACACACACTAATGTCCACCTTTGTTCTAAAGTATTGTTCATCTTAAATTTTCAAGTAGTACTTTTTCAAAGGTTAAAAAGACACAAAAATGTTTTTCTAGGGCTAGGTGCTAAAAGTAATGCCTGCTAGGTCTCACTTCTATCTCCTTTTCCTTACAGAAAAGACAAGGTGACTTTCATCCAGAGAGGTCAGAGAATGCTCCTGCTTCAAAAGGGAAGAAAAAGGTTGCAAGAAACTCTTGCTTTTTAATGTTTGTGGTCTAAAGACTAAACATGGCCAATAGTCTTCTCACTCTGGTTCTCTGCCTTAAGTACCTGAATCTGAAAAGCATGAAGAACCCAAACACATAAAAACAATTTAATGGAAATCATAAGACATTCCATGTAACCACAAGTTAGGACATTTGGTTTTCTCAGTGTGAACATGAATAGCTATCATATATAACATTCCTCCAATGAAGAGTGCACATTGGTGCACAGAAAACTAATTTGTTACAAGAATTCTTAAAGATACGGGGTAAGTATCAATTAAACATCTCTAGCAATATTAATAGCAGTGACTTGAACCCATGGAACTAGGAAAAAGAAAACAGAATTAGATTTGGGGTTTTGCACAAATGTAATCCCCCAAACTATTAAAGAATTGAACAGCTACTTTAATACAATCAAGGAACAAAACATTAAGAACCATAAAATATCAGCATCATCTGGCAAATGTTGTTTTATTTTCAAATGAGCTGTTACTTCCAAAGGGAGTAACATAAATTCCAGTTTATATTTTGGAAAAACAACAATACTTTTCAATTAATGCTTTGACTGTGGGACCTTGTAAAGTTTAGATAGTTCTACTGATCAGTTTCATTTCATAGCACAAGAAGAAGCCCTAACACTATGGTTGAATTTCCAAGATTACATTCATTTATGGAGACTGCGGAGACGATTTTTGACTCGTTTGCCTGACCTGCATTTTCTGCTAGACTGGCTTCTTGCTTGCCCAGGAACTGGAGTATTTCAGAAAGGAAGGGAAGGAATCTGGAGAGGCATCAGGAATGCTCGTATCCGGCTTCTCTAATCTCCTCGCTTTCCTATACCCTGAAATGTCTCCTTCTCCATCCTCTGAGTTTGCTTTCCTGACCTTGGAGAACAGCCAATGTGAGGGGGTGGAAGAAGGGTGTCATATCTCTGATTTCCAGCTTTGAGGTTAGATTTCTAACCTTGGATCAGGGGATTTGGGAAAAAGATGCCATCCAAGGGCCATATAACTGTTCCCTGTATGTGGTTAATGTTATGCTTAACCACAAACTCTTTTCAAGACCTGAAAACCATTTCCAAGATACAGATCCATGAATGCTTTTGTACTTTTTATAAGAAAGGAAGAAAATCCTTTCAAGCTCATGTCTGTTCTACACTTGATCTTTCATATTTTCAGCCTGCCCATGGTAATATATATCTTATTACATTGAAAGAAATGGAGTGATACAAAGCTCAGAGGCTTTCTACATTTAGATCTTGCATGGTATTACAAACATTCAACACATTAACATAACCTAGAACTCCATGAAGCTCAGATGTACACACATAACTGCATATGTAGAGGCTACATCACCTCTTGACCATCAGGAAAAGCAGTAGATGCCCCTTTCACAGAACCTGGCAGTATTTGCCACTGTTCTGCAAGTCAGACTGCTTCTCCCTCTTCTACAAAGCTCTGGGTACACATGGAACCAGATGGATGGGATCTAAAAGCTTCACAGTAGTGTTGCTAATGCAACATGTTTTCAGATTAAAGATTTTGAATACAACAATGAAGAAACATCCACAGGAATGTGACTCAGGTTTTGAGCTCAAGCACAACTTAAGAGAAGGTCTTATTTTAAAAAATCAATGAATGTTAGGTTAGAGTGATGGTGTTCACAAACAGGTAATTAAAGATGATATTTCTACCATCATTCATACCACTGTCTTCCAAGTGCGCAATCCACTACAGATTTATCCTGTACAAAACCCCCACCCCACACGGGATATGCAAGAGTGCACTTTAATATCCATTACTGCTGGTCCTGTGCATGAAAAGGACACAAAAGACTGTTTTTCAAATATGTGGGCTGTTTCAGCTAGGCTTCAACTCGACTGTAACTGTTGACTTTTACACACATGCACACACGCACACACAAAGTCTGAATGGTGAAGCAGATAAAATGAACACAAATGAGAGTCCTACTTTGGAAAAGAATATTGCCAATCATAAAGCAATTAATTTAAAACTGAGTTCTCACTAGTTTTATCCATTGAGTTTCTTTATAAAATGGCCTCAAAATATTTTGAAAAGTGAATTACCTCTGTTAGACAGATTCACAGGTGTAAGATTTGCGGTGTTAAAGCATACTTTGCATGACTACAGCCTCAATACAGCTTGCTTTGCAGGTATGCTCACATATATACAGTGCTTTGCCATGACCACTTTTCCTTATTTCAGATAAAAATAATATATATGTAGGAGGAAATTGTCAGGCATATACTTCAGCTGTTACTTTATAAAGTCAGAATGTCAGACTATTTCTCCTGCAATTTTGTACAAAACAATTGCACAGCAACAAATAATCTGGTCTTCTGCCCAACAATGATTTTCACCTATAAGTCATTTCACTGTACATAATTTCACATTGATACCTCTTTAATATTTAAATACTTATATAAAAAGCCCCCCCTAATAATTTCTTTTATAACCAAGTTCTCTGTCTAATAGCCAAACTTCAAAAAGTTACAAACAAAACATTGTACAGGATTTATAAATCAGGTTTAAAAACTTGAGGCTTCAAAATCATGTTTGCCCAAAAGGACTTTAGGAAAATCCACACACTGACAAGGTAGCAGAAGAAATTGAAAAGAAAAAAGGAGACAGACACATTTCCTGCCTTAACACTTTACTAATCCTGCCAGTTAAAGATGTTATCAGAAGTAACAGCATAAGCTGAAATGATTAAAGGTGTGTTTATGTTGGTCCCAAGTGATGAGACATGTGATTCAAGTATTTCCTATTTGATCTGAGCTCACCATAGAAAATGGTGCACCAAAAAAAAAGGTAAGCAAGAAAGAAAAAGAATGAACAAATGAAATGATTATTTGAGTTTTGTTCCATACATTCGATTAATATCTCCCTGGTAGTACGCAGTAAGCTCTTTACGTTTTAATTTGAAGGCATCTGTCACCAAGCCCATCTCTGGGGTCCAAGGTTCTGGGCTTAACCGAATTTTGAGGGGGATTTCAAATTTTTCCAGGTTAGCTGCAACAATTAAAAGAAAGTATTTCAGATTATAAAATGACTAAGAATGAACCTTATAGAGGCCACATGGGAAATGTCTGCTCTGTTCTTAATAGAGGCAAATGGGAAGTAAAGCTAGCTCACCAGGGAGCCATTACTTGAAGGCACTGCTGGAGCTCTGAAGCAGTCTTTCCTCGGGCCTTTACTTACATTTCTCCTTTTCCCCACAGGCAAAGACAGTTGAGAGAAAATGTATGGGTGTGTGCTGCACACCAGTATTAGCCCCAACCACTACGGGCATGCCCTCCCGCCTCCAAATATCCTAGCCCAAGGCCAAAGAAATGTTCCCCATCCCTGTTACAAAAGTTTTAATAAAACACACATGATCCTGAAAGAGTGGAAAGACCAGGTCAGGGGGGTGGGAGAGGCTTTTTCTCTCTCTGAAACAGCAGTCTCATATCCTCCAAGGAAACTGACTGGTAGTAGAGTCAAAGCAAACCAAAGAAATTACCTTCTTCTACAAAGCATAATTAATATACAGAATTCCCTACTGAAAGTTGTAGTGATAGCCACTAATACAGAAAAACACCTTTTAAAATGTGTCTTTGATCAATTTATTCAGGATGGACTAATGGTCATGGTAGCTATATGGGAACCTTCAGTTTCAAGGGCAGCCTACCCATGAATACTGGTTGCTAGGAAGCAAGAACAGGGAAGGCTCTTGCCTTCATACCCTGAGCACCTGGTGGGATAGTGTGGGAAACAGGATGCTGGACTAGATGAACCTTTGGTCTGATCCAGCAGGGCTCTTCTTATGTCCTAAGATTTGTTTTAGCAATTGTCTACCCCTTGTGGTAAGGAAAACAAATCTAGCATCTCAAAAAGAATTCCCAATTTTCAAATTATTTCCTTTAATCCACCATAGCACTACATTTTTAAACGTCTATTTTCATGAAATAAAAGTATCTTAAAGAACTGTGCAAAGAGTACTGCACTTTGCATACCTGTCTTAGCAGCCTCAGCTAAAAGTTTCTGTACTTCTTTCTCCATTTCAGCACTGTTACATATTTCTTCCAGGGTTCCTTTAAATCCTTTCTTTCGTGCTAACTCTTTAAGTTCTTTATGGTTTGGCACAACAAATGCAATGACATAAGATTGGAAACTGAAAAAAAATAAAAATACATCACTCCATACCAATACTCATATTTCTGTTTATGTGACCTTTAATATTTTCACTTTTCTCTATTTTTTCCACCAAGAATACAATGGCATACCCATTTGGCAGGTTCACACAAAATGAGAAGCTAGGATAGAATCTTACGATGGGTCTGTTGTGTGGTCAGAACCCAGTTCTGGAGTGGTAGGATCAGATTTCTGAAACCATGGAGAGAAATTAACACTCTTAAATTTTCTAGATTTCACCATGGCTTCTCCAGCTGTCCAAACCCAGGAACACCATTTTACCAATGTTGGTATGGAAACACCATACAGTCCTCTGGGAAGAGCAGCCACAGAGAATAGCCACTTTTAGATTTTGATCTCTACTGCCCTTAGCTCCCTAGCAACAGATGCGTCCTTGCTCACTCTATTCCCACTGGCCAAGTTATGTGCTCATCTCCCTATTTACTTTTTAAAACATGGAGACAGAATGAAAATACACTGAGGAAGAAGTGGGAGGAAACATTGCAAAATTCTTTTCATTTAATAAAACATCTCTGTGGGTCTGGAATGATTGACAAGTGAAGCAGATATGCAGATACAATTGAGGAAGAAGGGGGAGCCTCTATCAAGGAGGAGACCTGCAGCAGAACAATCAGAAGGAGGCTGCATAGGTGAGGAGTGCATAGGTAAGAATAAGGAATCAGCAGGGAATTTGCTTGCAGAGCTGCCAGAGTGCTTAGGGAGGCCAGATGGATGAACAGGGAGCACAAAAACCATACTGCCCAAACAACCATGTGATTGTCTGACTGGTAAGTTCCAGCAAAAATTCACATGCCATGGAAGGAGTACAGGGTTGCTTGCTCTATTGTGTGATCCTAACCGTGAACTTCTGCCAAAGTTGCCACTGCAGAAAGCGTCCCCATGCTGAGTTTACACTCCCCAAGGACTTTACATGAACAGTTAAGCCAATGTACAGGGCTGGTTTAAATGCAATACTAAACCATAGTTTAGTGCTACAGTGACAAGACTTTAAGGATACTCAGACCACCACAAAAGAGTCTCCGAGAAACAGCTTGTCTAGAGGAAGGAGCCAGTTTTTCACCTGGTTGCTACATGGCTATTTTATTACATCTTCTGGTGTTAGTGGGGGAGGAGGCAGGGGTTAGGGAAGCTGGGGAAAAGTGAAGATTTGCAACATGAGAGTTAACTGCTCTTTCCACAAACAGACAAAAGATTAAACAAACAAATTATCAAAAACTCAATCAGGCAGCAACATAACTTCTTCCCTTAGTCAAGAAGCTATTCCTATAAAACTCCTTTGATTTGCTTGGAGGGGGTTCGTCCTCCTCCTTAGAAGTGCAGGAAATGCAATAGGTTAGCCAGGACTTCAAGCCACTCAGTTATGTCAGCTTGATGGTACAATTGTGAGAAGGAGAATATCAGCCAACAGCAGCCTTCCTCAACCTGGTGCTCTCAAGAAATATCGGATTGCAACAATTGGCCATTCACGCTGGGGAAGGACGGGAGCTACAGTATAGAACATCTGGAGAGCTCAAGGTTTTTGCCTGGGGGCCAAATCCAGCTCTTTTGATGTCCCACTCTGGACTTCTAAGGTTCCCAGTTGGCCTATCCCCTTTCCTGGTCCCACCCCCTTTCCGTTCATCACCGTTTCATGTTTCTCCCAGCTTTAGTCCATTCTTTGACCCATTTTAAAAAATTGAAATGTGCCTTAATTACAGCAGTAGGAGCTTTAAGCTGAAATATACTGCTATTTTCATTATTTTTGGCCCTGCCTCCTTTGCCTTCAACTCTGCTCACTGCTGGAATGCAGCCTCTAGAGCTTTTCCAAAATGGAATTCAGCTCTCTGGCTGTTCTAACAAGCCAGCTTGTAGTGTGAGTGATACGTAATACATAGCTAAGCTATGACTGAATTGAGGGCTCTTACATAGGTTCAGTAAATTCAATTGGTTCACTTCTTTTAAAACAAAAAAACAATAGAGCATTACATCCCCCACAGAAATGGTTAAACATGGATGCTTCTCAACAATGTCTTGTTAAAGAGACTTAACTGCTGATGTAATGTTTGGCGATAAGTGGGCAAGAAAGAATTTATGTTCCTGTCATCTCCTGCAGAATCTATATATATTCAAAAGGGTGTGTGATTGCTTTTTAGCTAAAAGCACAGAAGAGTTTCTAAAATGTATGTGTTCTCCAGCCTAAAGAACATGTGAGCCACTTTACCTGCTTGCATATACACAAATGTTATCTACCAGTGGAAGGTTCTTCAAAGCTGCTTCAACTTTACCAAGAGAAACATATTCTCCTGCTTGAAGTTTTACAAGATCTTTTTTACGATCTAAAGAAAAGGAAATGAAAATGTTATATTTGTACAAAGGTCATAACTCTGTATAGTCATACAGATTCACCTTAGTCCTCCTGTTCTTTTCCACACTGGACCTATGAGATTTTAACAGTCTAGGCAGAATTCCTTGGACTAACACCTAGTAACTTAACCCTTCAACATTTCAATCATGTGCTGTGTTTTTAAAAGTCTTTCTTAAACAAATAACTTTATTAGATTGCATTTGCTTTCATTACCACAATATTCATAAACACCTGCAAACTTGCCAGACAAAATTCATACAACTACTTTCCAAACTAAAAAACTGAAACCATTAATAGCAATAACCAATACATATTTACTTGCGAGTCTGTGCCACCAAATTCAATTAAAGATGCTATTGTAGTATTCCGAACAGAGTAGTCCTCCTCCAATTATTACTCTGGATTTGAAATGTGAACTTTTATAAATAGCCACTGAATAAAGACAAACCATCCTGGTGAAGTCAAGGTGAACTCACTGATCTGAGTTACATTTAAACAGGTACTTAACTCCTTATTAAGGCTGCAAACCCAAACACTCCTCTCTCGGATTTAATATCAGTGAATTCAGCAGGAATTACTTCAAAGGATAGGACTGCTCCAATTACTACATAGCCACCCTGTGGCTCCAACTCTTGGAGGCTACAATCCAATGCATACTCATTTGGGAGAAAGCCTTGCTGAACTCAGTGACACTTAATTCCAGGTAAGCATGCCTAGGATTGTGTTGTAAATGCACAATATCCAGAGTAAAATAAGATTTCAATTAACAATGAAATGAATTAATAAAGTTAAGATTAACTGAAAGAGCACATATTCAAAATATTAAATGCATTCAAATAAATAAGAACATCCTTCACTAGAATGAAATGATAGTATGACAAAATTGTAGAACTGTCAAATGTTATATGGCTAACTCACCAATAATTTTTAGACAGCCATCTGGATGGAATTCCCCAATGTCTCCAGTGTAGAGCCACCTCTGTCCATTCTCATCTACTATGAAATCAAGATGTGTTCGTTCTTCATTTTTGTAGTAGCCCATGGTTATGTTTTGACCTCCAATAACAATCTCACCTCTAGGATATGGTTTATCTGTGTTGAAGTATCCACCTGCAATTGAAATTTTTGTAAAATTAAGGAAGCTAATGTGTATTTTTAAAATACAGAATAAACGAAATTCAGCATAGTAAACTATATTTCAATTACAACTTAACATTTTACAATGCATGTACTATTATATATCGAGGCCACAGTGGCTAATTCACCGATGGTGTGACAAAGCAGACTTACATCTATCTATCTGTTGGACTGTCTACTATGTGTTTAAAAAAAGGTTGTGATTGAAACAACTCAGGGAAGTGCATTTTTGTAGACAAGAGCTGAAGCTGTGGAAACAGTTCTTAGCAATGAATTGAGAAGCATTTATGCAGCCAGCATTACCTGTCTATTCTGCTAGTTGACTGACAGAAGCTTCTGATATCGCAAATCCTGATTTTTTTAAAAAATCCAAAGGAACTTATTTTAGAATATTAAATCCAAACAATAATCTGACTCCATTCCCATCACCCAAAGATGACTCATTTAATTTACAATATTAAAAATGTTTTACTCAGTACTCACAATACCCTTGCAAATCCTCTAAAACAGACATGGGCAACCTCTGACAAGCAGACCATATATTGCTCATGAAGTTCCCCACTAGAGCCACCAGCTTCTTCTCCAAGCCCCGCTCCTCTGCCTCTACTGGCAGGATAAGGCATTTAATTTTGATTAGTAACTGACTGGTGATTTAAAAATTTCCCTGTTGAAGAGAAGGACTTGGGTGGGAATTGGGTGAATGATTTGACTTGAAAATGGAAGCTTGCCCTGCTTGTAAGAAGACATGCCACTTCTGAGTAGATACATAAAGGCTTGGCACTTGAAACCCAACGTAACCTTAAAATAGGTTTTTAAACTCAGATGCTGGCCTGTCTACTTTTCTTTAGCCTTTCCCACAGATGGAATGAAGCCTCCAAGACCTTTCCTAGATTGGAATTCAACCCCTGGTCTGATAAAGGTTCTCCGTCCCTGTTCTGAAAGCTATGGGACAATTTACATGCTTGAACTTGCAAAGTATGATTTATACAATCCTCCAAATCAGATTGGTAAATTAGGGTTTGATTCTGGTTTACAAAGCAAGCACAAGCCATCATTTGTCAATGTAGACATAGTATTAAGCCCTCCTTGCTGCAAACCAGAAGGTAACAAATTGCCTAGAACATATAAAGACCATAGAAGGGAAGACAACAGCACCTATTCATGTACCATCAAACCATAGTTTTCACACTGTGCAAAATTGAACTCTTAAGTGCTGAAGCATTAAAAGTGATGTAAAGATTGGTGTAAAGCCTGATTTTCTCTGAAACTTAGATATCAGACTTTTTCAGATAAGATGAGTTCACACGTTATGCAACATGGAAAAACATATTATTATTTTTATTATATTTATATTCTACCTTTTTTCCTTTCAAGGAACTCAAGGCAGCTTACACAATTATCCTCCCCCTCTCAATCTTATCCTTACAACTACTCTGTGAGTGAAACTAGGCTGAGAGTCTGTGACTGGCCCAAAGTCACCCAGTTAGAGTAAGGACGAGAACCCAGGTTGCCTGAGTTCCAGTCCTGAACTCTTAATCACTATAACCAAACTGGCTATCAAAGTGCATGCATGGTATAACTATGGATGGGCAAAAGTTCCTCTGATGTGGAAATTATGCTTGCAAATTATGCTTGCAACACAGGCATTAGCATGTATAGTGGTCCTGAAAATGATGTGCAGGAACAACTATCTGAACTTGATTCCTGCCCTTCTAAGTCCATTACTATCCAATGTATCATGCAGTTCTTCATGTGTCAGTTTAGTGCACTTAGTGTTCTACATTTATCTCCTTAATAATGACTCACAGATTTTCCATTTTGAGATCTAAGAATAAACAAAACAGAAGAGCAAATTAAATTTATTCTCAATTTTGAATTCTTTAGTGACATTCTGGTGGTAATTTTTTAAGGAGGCCAAATCCTTCTGCATGTTTCCTTTAGTTAATGTTTGCTTACCTAGTAGATGTAAAACTGTGTATCATAACTTTTAAAAGCAGTATTATATAGTGGAGAGCAATATAATCCAAACTGCTTAAAATAGAACAAATACGTGGAAAATACTGTTAATTCTTCATCTTGCACTTTACTAATGAAACTTTGTTCAAACGTTTTGTGCACAATATGACAGATAGTTTATTTCTTTAAACACTGATGGAAAGAAGTACAGCTAGAGAATCAAACTGTTTTGCTCCAGCATGTATTTTGTATTCTCATTACTTATGAAGCATATACATAGTTGCCATTTTTTTGCATTTCCAAACAATTTACTTGCAACTTTGTACTCATAGTATGGTCATTGTCTGGCAAGGTGGATCTCACTTTTTTTCTTTACTGAGCTGTTTCATGAAAAGTGCCTTGCCATACCACAGTACAAGCAGTGCCCCTGCTGTTGGCACTCCTCCTTTTCCTTGGGAGTGAGGTGAGGTTGGCTTCCCCACAACTGCATGGGTTCTTTTGCTGAGATGAATGGCTGAAACTCAGGTCCCACAGACCTCTGTAATTCTACAGCTGGCAACCTTGTTCTAGGGGTGCTTGGTCAATCCCTAGACAACGGCATTCAGTATGCCATTGTTCTGCAGGCATTGTTGTATCAGCGCCTGCAATGTAGTGGGGTATGGGGGTCTATTCAGGCTAACTCATGCAGGATGTCACCTGCCAACCCTTCTCAGAACTGATGCATCAAGGCAGGCTCATTCCAGGTCAAATCCTGGATCAGCAAGCAAGAGGCAGTGGCATAGGAGCTGAAAGTTCCTTTTCCCTGGCAAAGATAGTGAATACAATGATTGGTTTTTTTCTTCTTTAGAGATCCTACCAGACAGACTGCATTGCCTCCAAAATCCTGAGAAATTCATAAGGAGGGGACTACCTTGGAGGAGATAGGGGATAGCCCATTTGGCTGCTGAGCCAATAAGCAGGCAGATCACAAAAGGCACTTTACCCGGGGAGTTGGGAAGTCTTTTGGTTGGAGCTGCATATATAACTGAAATAGGGTGCCAAAAAAGCAGAGAACTGATCTGGATTCCCATCTATTTTTTCTGGGTGTGTCACTGGGCACTTACGTTTTGGAGCAGGAACTGGAGGGGGCAGTAGAGTATGCAGCTGGTTTGACTGAGACTGCAGGTTAGCTATAGAAGCAGCAAGCTGAGCCACCTGATCTCTGAAGACTGAGTTTCCCTGTAATACAGTCTCCAATCTCTCAGTGGACACACAGTGGTAGAGAGAATGTGGATGTAAAACAAACTGTCCATGCGCATTCCCTGTGTTACTTCCCAAAAGATTAGTCAATGCAGTATGAAGGTCAAGGCTGCTCATTTGTATGTCCAGAGTTTAAATCGGGCAGGGGTGCCCAAAAGAATGTCCAGAAAGTAAGCCAAAAGTCTAGGTATTCAATTTGTCTTAAACAAAGTCAAAGACACAGATAAACGTTCTTGTTGTTTTGCCATAAAGAATAGGTTCTGGCTGATCTAATTTATAGCACAGCTGGAGAATTAAGTCAGTGTGCTATTTCATGGGAGGCTCCATACGCAGCCTGCTGCTTGAACTTCTGCTGGATCCATGATCTCCTCCTCCTTTCTAAGGAGTGGATTCCTTCGGACTCTAGCTCCTGCCCTTGAGGACTTTCAGGGACTGCCCAAGAAGGTTCTGGCTGCTCTTCTAATGGAAGGCAGTCAACTGCAGCCTCAACCCCTGCATCTGATTGTGGCTGGGGCCCATTGTGATGGCTCTCTTCATCTGAAGAATCCTCCTCCAGGTGAGACATGAAAGTAACCCTCTCCCATTCTTGTGTAAAATATGCTTTTACTTGTGCAAAAGAAACTGAAGAAAACTCAGTAAGGCAGCACGTGAAAACCTTGTCAAGAAGCTCTGGGAAACTTAGTCAGTCCACATCAGGCTTAAATTAGCCCTCAAAGCAAATTGCTATGAAACCGCAGAGAAAACCTGCTCTTATTCAATTCCGCAAAGACAAGGCTTTGAAGGTATGTTAAAGGTGCACAACACCACAGCTATATCATCATGTTAAAACAAGGCATTTCAAAGTTTGTCCTGAAACTGTCACATGCCAAGTAAGTGTCATCGTAAAATAACACCTTACCTTCTTTCCAGTTCACTAATTTGATTTCACAGCAAACCAAGGGTGCTCCCACTCTGCCTGTTGTGTAGTCCCAAACTGAAAAGTAGGGGGGGAGACATTATTAAAGGCTTAGAAAAGTGGACCCTAGAATTAGTTTTACTAAAATAGATATTTGAATAGGTTTCTCCTGCAGTTATCAGTGATGCATTGAGAGATTTTGGAGTGAAGCATTGCCAACATGCTGGTAATTCCCAATTATACAATCTGTATCCTGGTTGTATTCTACCCTATAAACACCACTAACCTTCAGTGATTGTTCCAGCCCCAGAAGATTCTGTTAGGCCATAGCCCTGTCCCACAGGGCAACAAAAACAGATATTCATAAATCTCTGAGTTGCTGCAGAAAGTGGAGCTCCTCCACACAACAAGACCCGAATCTTTCCACCTAGTAGCATCCGGACTTTCCGGAAAACGAGGCTAAAAAGATAATAATATATTTTTATTGCTTAACCAAAGATTACCTAAAGTACCATGTGTACCCAACCAGAAGGTCCATAGCTTTGTGTAAAGGTTTTTCAACAGAATATGCAATACGATGCTATATGTGTCAACTCCCACTGAGTTCATTAGGACTTACTTCCTAGCAAGGGTGCATATCACTATCACTACCACTACTCTGATGACACAGTACCTTGCCTGGATTTTCCTTTTAAACATTCTACTTGGCAACAGGTTTAGCAAATTTGGGATAAAGGTATCTTTCTTCATCAATGTCACCTGGTTTATACCTTCCCATATGAACCTACCCAGCCCCTTAGATCATCATCTGAGACCCTTCTGAAAAAGCATCCTACTCAGGAAATAAGGAGTATGGCTACAAGAAGGGCCTTTTGGGGAGTGGTACCTTGATTTGGAATAAGCTCCCCAGAGGTTTGCCTGGCACCCGCTTTATTTTCAGCACCAGGCAAAGATCTTTTTATTTTGACAGTATTTTAATTGTTAGTCTGGTTTTAATGGTTGTATATTTTAACATAGAGTATGGTTTTGCCTTTTGTATAATCATAGCTTCTGTCAAGCTGTGACATCAATGTGCTTTTAACTGCTTTATAATAGAATTTAATATTGTGATTTTAGTGTTATTTATTATATGGTCTTTCATATGATTTTATTGATTGTATATGATTGTAACCTGCCCAGGGAGCCTTGTGACTAATGAGGCAGGCTAAAAAATATCTAATAAATAAATAAAATATACATTGTCCCATTGTGACCAATACAAGCTTTCTCTTTCTCTGACTGATCCAGCCATTTGGCCAGCTTCTCAGTAGCTTTACCCTTGAGGAAGAAAAAAACTCATTTACCTACCTGTCACAGAGTGGAGTACTATAGCCTTTTGAAATCTGCTCCATTTTGTAATTATAAGCCAATATAAATAGATTACGTTGGAAACTGGACATTTCATTAACTCGACTCATGACATTTTTGTAGATTCGATCCATGATTTCCTAGTTACAGAAATGGATTGCATAGATCAAACAAAGAAATATAGCTGTGTGCAATACATTCACTTTGCTGTAGCATTCTTTGAGGGTACAGTCCTCTCTTAACATTAGCTCAGATCTTAGTTTCTCTAAAGGCTCATGATGCATTAGAAGATTTAAAAATATGAAAACAGGATGTCAGGTAAACAACAACACTAATTTACATGTTTCAACCCATCCAAATTTGCATCATCCATTCAAAGGCAGAGAAATACAATGGGGCAAATCCCACTCTTAATTCTTTCTTTGAGGATGGAATTCATAAAGGAGGCAGAGAGAAAGCAAAAAATAGGACGGACAACTGCAGTAGTGCATTGCCATTATTAGTACATTGCCAATGTAGCCCTTTTCCCCCCTATCATCCTTCTGATTTTCAGCCTCAAGGTAAAGAGGGAGCCAAGTCAGACAAACACCATACTGTACAGCCATTGCTACCTTTGGACTCAGTAAAGGCATGGCAAAGAATGTCATGCCAGCTCCACGTCTTGCTGCATGTGTGGCCTCTATTTCTTCTGCTTGTCAGATATGGGAGTCCTTAAACAGAGGTTGGGTGGGGGGGTGGGTCGACCAATATGGTTTTCATTCATCCCCCCCCCCCCATAGTACTTGTGCAATTAGCTCAGTACCACGATAGTTAACGCAGGGCATACTGAATTGCTCAGATACTGGACACCACTAGTAAGCTTTCAATCATTAAGAAAGAGAAAGAAAGAATAGGGGTTATGTACGTCACCACTTGCATGTTGGAAAAAAATTGCTGTCTGCACTGGCTGAGCATCAATTTACATGGCTGGCTTAAGCTTTAAACAACGAAGAGTCATGAGACACCCTAAATACTAATACAAGCATTATAGCATAAGCTTTCATGGACACTATCCACTTTATCAGATGCCTGCAGTGTTAACCTCAGGTTGGCAGATTTGTATACACATGCTTGAGGAGGTGGGGATTATAAGCAATGAAGTCTGAGGCAGCTGAAGTGTCATAATCTGTTAGTCTTAAACGTGCCACAGAACTCTTTTGTTAGTTTTACTGCAACAAGCTTACATGGCTGTCCCTCTGGAAATTAAGGTCTAAACAATACTCACTGTGCAATCTAAACATTCAGATTGTTAATACAGTTCTAACAGGTGTTTAGACTAAAATTATTTCCATACTGTAATGTGCCTTATTAAGTAAGTTCCTTATTCCTTAAGAAAGGTTGCTGAAATTTCCATTTCTTTTTGGAAAATGAACAGTATACTCCTCTAAGTCTTGTTTGGTATTCTTACATCTTTGATTATTAAACGTTTAAGCATTCATTCAACCATGGGAATTTTCTGGAAATGTCTACAAGCAGAGGAATTTACTAGAATGCTAACATAATTTTCGATACAATCTTCTCCTCCCACACATTCCCAGATCCCATTCATGTGCTGATTCCTCCAAAGTTTTCTACATGTGTCATGAAAACATGGAAAAAAAGCATTAATCAGGAATTATCCTGTAATCTCCAAGTTCTCATTTAATATTTGAAAAACGTAGACCTCAAATGCTCAGCTTACCGGCACAGCTGCCATTAGAGTTGGTTTCAGTGCAGAAACATCACCTTTACTTCCTTTCTTTATTTTCGAAGACTAAAACAGAAATGAAGAAAACAACATGTAACCTTAAATTACCTTTCACCAAAACTTGTGCAACATAAAATTTGTGCACATCCTGGAAAAAAAGTAGAGTTTCACCATAACATCTGTTAGGAAACTATTTTGACATTGATGCCAGCTTAAAAGAGACATAATTATTTAATTTTCCATTTCGGTGAAGTTCAGACAAATTTTAAAATACAATTGATACATTCTTATTATGGAAAAACCATACCTGATCGCTTAGAGTCTGAGGTGATGAGTAGCCAATACGGCATCCATGGGCCAAACAGACAAGTTCAGCACTTAATTCCAGAACATGAGCAAGCGGTAAGTAGCCAATGTAGATATCTTTTTCTCTGAAAAAGAGATTAGAATATATATTGTGTGTCAAGCTGTGTCAATCCATTCCTAAGACTGCAGCATAGTGATCCAAACGGTGTCCTGCCACAACAACTCTGTAATGCTGGCATACCGGCATATTCAGAAAGAGTGGAGCCACCATGGGTGTGTAACACTGGCTCCCTACTATGTCTTGTAAGTCAACCTAAAGAACTGGTTCTCCATCCTCGCAGCTTTTTCCTTCGACTCAACTTGCCCTTGCTTCCTGTGAATGAAGTTAAGCATTGTATTGATACCCTTCGCTAGACTATCCAGTTGTCCTGAAGTCTCAGAACATTTTGCCCTCATCGGCATTTTAACTTAAATGTCAAAACCAAATTTCTATGATATTGATGTTCTCTTTCTAGAATGATAGTGAAGCTAAATGAAAACAGTAAGACATTTTGACTTTGTTGTACCCTTGCCAAATAATGGAACTTTCCTTTACTTAATATGAACTAAAGAATACCAAATCATAACATAAAACTACATCAATTTGAAGATGTGGAATTTACATGAGAAATGTTCCATAGGTCCTTTACTCCACTCCCCCACACCATAACACATGCTTGATTAAAGTCAGTCTTACATTTTCCAAAATATTAGAAATGTGTGTGTTAAAAAATAATATTTCAGTGGACCTTGAGACTGTAAGACACACAAGTGCTGTGTAGAAATATATATGCCTTGATACATACCCCAGATTAGGAATCCTTTCAGCCATCCCAGTTATCCCAGAAATAAGATTACAGTGAGAGATCATTACACCTTTTGGAACTCCTGTGGAGCCACTCGTATACATAATTACGGCAATGTCTGAGGGTAGGGGTCTCAGCCTTTGTTTGTTGCTTGATACTTGAAAAAAATGACAAGCAAACACAAAGAAGCAATTAAAAAGAAAGCAATTTTTTCTGACAATTATGGTTTTTAAAGATCTAACAGGTGAAGCAGGTCTAGCTTCCTGGGAGGGAGAAACAGACAGCACCACCATTACCATCCCATCCAGAGCTCTGTCAGCTTGCACCAGTAGTGGGATGGGGCACAAGAACAGTTTGGGGGGATTTTAATATTTACATTTTTACATTTGTAAAAATGTTAATGCATTCTATACTTTTATACGGAGAGAAATACTTAATCACTCTAGAATGTTCATGTCTAGGAGTCTTTCTTTTTAATTATATTGAATTTGGAACCACAGATCTGTAACCCCAAAATGTGTAAACAGTATCTCAGCTGGAAACTTAAACCGCACAAAATCCAACCCATAGCTATATACAGAAATCTTAGTTTGTACTGTGAAAAGGCCATTCATCTTCACTTTCAGCAGCAGGCCTCATTCCATATAAGACTGGAAGCATTCTCAATCATTTGTACAATCAATACTTGTTTTGGTGGAATTGACTTCACCAAAACTATCCTGGCAAAATAATTGCCTAGCCTGCTTTAACAAAATCTAATGATAACAACCAAATTATATATAGCAACTTATCCGAGCATTCCCCCATGTGCACATTTAAGAAGTTTGCTAGGGTCAGCCTAATCTTTTCTTGCTAACAGCAGGCATGATGAAGCATTGCATGTACATTCTTGAAATCCCAAAGGAAAACTTTTATCACATATGCCAAGAAGTGATAATTTCCTGTCACACTCTCTTAGGATGCAATTGTATGCATGATATGATAAAGGTCCACAACAGAAAATTCCACAGAAAATTCTGGGAGTTTCAGGGTTTTTCTATTTAAACATGAATAGGATAGCACCCTTTCATGTTTTGGTCACATAGCTACACATTAAATTAACATACATCAGGAGAACTTCTACTAGTTGTTAAGGATATGAGCTCATAAAACTTTAGAATGTATAGCCATGGCAAAGACTAAAAAGAAAAAAAAAGTATGCTCATGGAACTCTATGTTCCATGGTAGAAATAACAGTTGCTGACACCCCTCTATGCATAATGTTATCTCTTCCACTTTCTTTCCACCCCCAGGAAAACATATTCATTATCATAAGGATAAAACAAGTGATCAAGAAAAGAAATATACATACTATTTTCCATTTTCTCCCCCATAGCTTCAACAGATGCCATAGTGTGAACAATTACACCTTTTGGGAATTCAGACCATGATGTTGGCTTGCCATCTACAGTAATAATATGACGTAATAGAGGGACCTGGGAAGCAATACTCTGTGGAGGAAAAATATAGTTTTAAAATTCCCCTTGCTTCACAAACAAATGACACTCTGCAAAAAATAAATAAAAAGAACAGAGTGGGAGACTACTCTGGGAGACACTTTTAACATATTACTATCCTTAAAACTAGTGCATTAGTTCATTTTTTAATATGGAAGTTGTAGGAAAGGTGAATATGAAAATGATATAAAGCACCATTCATGTACATGATACTGTGCAAAGAATGAATGGCCCTCGTCCTAGAGGTTTACATATCTAGTATACTGTGATTCTTACATGTCTACGTTTTATGCATTTGACACCACACTGTACACTGCCTACTAGCAGCACAGCAGAAAACGTTAAGCAGATCAAAGCCAGAATTTTCCTATGCATGCAACATTAAAAGAAATAGCTTGAAGTTTACAGTTCCTGGCCCACAATACCACAACTTCCTTTTCTGTCCACTTTTTTTCTACCATTAGCTCATAACCCCTGCTGTCTTGTCCCTCCAAGCATCTCTATTAACTCTTCTACCCCCTGTTGCTTTCAATGGTTCCTTCTTTCATCAACTCCCCATTTCCACAGTCCTTTCCCTCAAGACTGTCTCCTTTCCTCTACAAATTATGTGTTCTGATTCTTGTTTCAGTCTGCTGCCTGCTCTGCCTCCGTCCTCTAGCTAATCTGTCTTTTGGTTCCCTGACCCTTAGATTTTCTATCTCCTGGGACCTCTGTCAGTTGAACTGTCTTGTCAATCTTCCTACCTTGTTCTCAAAGCATCTCCTGTCTCTAGGGACTTTGAGAAAAGCCTTAGAAAACTGAACTTTCAGCTTCAACTCACAGAAGTGCAATGCTGAAAATACTGTATTGTTGACAGCTTTCTTTGGCAATTAGAACATTCAAAAACATTCTACAATGTCTCATCTGCCAATAGGGGATGGCCTCATTGGCACCACAAAATCCTTAGTGAATTATAATACAGATTATACTTGGAGACATCCTTTATAAAGTGCTTTTCTAACAATACTGCAAATATGTTTTATAAGCATGCTGTGAGCCAAGATTGTGTCCTATGAAGCTAGTATTCAAATAGGATATTTCTATATATCCATTTATGGGAAGAAAATTCAGATCTAGTATGATTTATCTATGCTTTGTTCAAGTGGGAACAAATAGATAATAACCTAATCTAACTTTAAAAAAAACTAGCTTTTTGCTGTTTCAGTTAATCTGTTGTATAAATGACTATTAGATGTACAGCATTTTACACAATTAAATAAAACACATCTCTGTCACAAGCATACAAGCTAAAGTCATGTTTAAGTTGTACAAAAGCTGAAAAGGAAGTGGACATACAAAACTAAAGTTGCAGTCTAGGAATTTAGATTTAGCACCATCCATGTTCATGGCACTTTTCAAAAAAAGGAGAGCGTGGCACTGTCCCAGAAGGTTTACATACCTAGTGGCCTATAACGTGTGTGTATCTTTGGACTATTTATGAATTAGTTCAGAAATGGCAGTGAACAGGCTCACAATCCTTTTTGCAAGCTATGCTGCATACAAGCTAGCCACACTTCTGTGCTTGTTCTCATAGATTAGAACGTAACTGTTTAGATAAGATGGAGGGAAGACATGAGAGGGGAGAAAGGGAAATAATAAACTGTGCTGTATGCATATCACATTCCCCTCCATGAGATCATGTCTGAATATATGGATCCAATTTTTATCTAGACATGGCTATGCCTTACCTTTAATCTTGTCTGCATCAATTCTTTGCTAGTAATAATGGTTGTCACCTCTGTTTCATTTAATCCATGTACTATTGCAGGGCCTCCTAGAGTGGCATAAAGTGTAACAACTGCGGGAAAAAAAGAATGCATTTCCTATTAGAAATGTCCATTATATCAAAATATAAACTGAATGTTGAAAACCCCACTCAGTTATATTTTAAGCACTTGCACACTGCTTGGAATGTAATAACTGGAACACTGAGAAAAATAAAATACAGAAATATTTTCACTCACATATTTCTACTGATTGCTCAGAAAAGCTGCAGTGCAGCTTCTTTAAATCCTTCAACAGAAGCCCTATTTCACTCTATAGGAGGCAATATGCTACTCTGAGTTGCAGCTGCTCCACCATAAATGTACAGTGGGGATGAAAAAGCATTGCATAAATCAACCACCAGTACAAGAACAGAACACACTACACTAAATTTAAGAAGACCTTCTGATCTGGTGTTTTTGAAAGTGCAGGAAGGTACATTCAGCACTGAGGGGAGCAGTGATCACCTACATGGTGGATTTGATTTCAGCTGTCTTCACTCCAGTCGTAGTCAACAATTGACAAAATTGAGACTGCAACCATTAGTTTGACAGGAAAGAACCTCTAGTGCACCACTATGCATAGAACTGACCCTTGAAAAGGATAGTCTCTGCAACTGTTGGGAAATTCTTAAAGGCCTATGGCACATCTTTCAATTACTAACTGAGGGCCAGTTTCATGTACAACAGGGCCCTGCTCATCCTGCTCACCTAAAAATCAAGCTGTAGGACATGGACTGACTGGCACAAGAAACCTGCTAGAAAAGAGCTTCTGCACTATGACTTATTCTCACTGCAGCTGCAATATATAACATTAGCATTCTCCTTCAGGCAGGAGGCATGGAGAGTTTACATGTCAGTCAATGCCAGACACTTCCCAGAAGCCAGTGTTTGGGAATTCTCTGTGCAAAACAGACAGCCTGGGCTTGTCAGGAGTATGTCATCATGCTGAGGCAGTTTTCAGTAGTCTCCACTTGAGTTTACATCATAAACACATCCGCACATACTTTCAAGTAATCAGGTTTAAGATCAGGGGTTATATGTATCAGCAGCAATTAATTACATGGTAAAGAAATGTAAGTCTTTCTTAAAGATATGCCCATCTCTTTGTTGCAAAGGACACACTGCCACTTGCTTTGTGGATTTTGAAGTGTTTCTTCAGAATTCATGACAACTAAAAGGCAACCAAAACAGTGGTCTAAATTAGGGGTGTTGAATCTGTTTAAGCTTGAGGGGGCTGAAGCCATTGTGGAGAAGCCCTTGCAGGCTACATTGCAGTTGTAAGCAGGGCCAAAATACCAAAAATATCAGCATAATATTATGTAATGCTCTTTCAGGCAGTAACTAAGTCTTAAGACAGGCATTTTAACTTTTTAGAATGGTGAAAAACAGCACAAGAATCAGTAAACAAGTGGCTTGGGGGAAAGGGTAGTGCCGAGGAAAGGGGGCATGGCCATCTGGAAAACCCCAGTGGGCCAGATTTGGAACCCAGTCTTGAGGTTCTGTACTCCTGATCTAAACTTGGTACAACCATTTTATCCTAAAGAAAAGCCCCACCAGGGCATTAATGCCACACAGAACTGAGTAAGGGGGAAGAAAACACTCTACATAGGCTCCAATATGATTTAGAATTCAAAGTTCTAAATCAGGAGAGAAGCATATGCATATAAAGCAGGCTTCCCATTCAAAACTTTTCCTCTAACGCATGGAAGCCAATGGGACATAAAGGATAGGACATGGCTAGAAAGAATGACCTTGCTCTCTGCCTCACGTGATCTTAATTACATGATGGATTGAACACCAGCATAGGTTTCAAAAAAAAGTGTCACACTTAAACATTTTACAGCCAACATGGATGCAATTCTTATAGTTATAGCTACCACAGTCACATCACTTTTTCATGCAGTGTAATCCTAAACCAAACAGAAAGAGCATTTATATAGACAGGCATTTATGGAATAGTTACAATTTATATTGAGGTTTCAACTATTTTCTAAGCCCTAAAATAAATGGACTTAGGCACACCTAACTTTGTAGATGATTAGACTATTAGTCTACTAGATGTGCTGCTTGAGAGTCAGTAGTTCCAACATATCAACAAAAGTGTTTTCTTTTACTCAAAAAAATAGCTGTTGAAACTGTGTGCATTTGGGGAGTAGGCAATTTAAGAAGGAATACAATTCCAAATTGTAAAGCAAATATACATGCACAGTGTTTTCTTTAATTTGGTGGGAGCAACATAAAAAAAGATGGCCTTTCCTGGTTCCCATGTGCTTTCCGTGTCTAATCCAGTGACCCCTATTATGTAAACATAAGTTTTCCCTCGCCAGCTCTTAGCAAGCTGTGGAAGGCAACATATAATCTCTTAAATAATAATTGATATTATTCACCTACAGATGGAAGAGGAAATGAATGCAGTGAAAAACAATTCAGCAGTTAATGAACTTGAGACGCTTGCCCAGTTTACAAAATGGTGCACTGACGTCAGGCAGTAAGAGTTGAAGTAAGCTACAGCAGCTGCAAACTATTATCACACAGCCTGATCTGCAGAGTTGCCACTTGACACTGTGCATAACACTTGCACATGGACACATAAAAATCTAATTGAAATGTACAGCTCCAGGAGCAAATATAAAAGTAAAAGCCAGCAGGTGTTTATTTGCTATTTTTTAGTGTGGTGTGAGGGAGAAAAGGAAAAAATTCTCCAGAGACAAATTCAAATCAGCTATTTTTTATGATTCAACACATAATAAAGACAAAAAGGAAGGCACATATTAAATCTGGGGGAAATCATTAAAATGGAGATTCTATTCTGTTATTTTCACTTGTAACCAAAACTTATTACCCAATGAATGAAAAATATATTTTTTTGCAATAAAAGAATTCTCATGAGATAAAATCACATGAAACACATTCTTAAATAACAGCAATGTTAAAATGGAATTCTTATTTTTGTGCTGTGGCAAACAAAAAAAATCACCCAAACAAACCAACCACAGAAGACTATAAAATAAGATTTTTAAAAATTAGCATAGCAAAATCAGGCACAGAAGTTGAAGAATGCAGGAAAAGCATCGCTTGTCAAATACTGGAACAGCAAGCATCTTGCCTTGCAAAATTAAACAGATTTTAACTCATCATGTTTCACTGGCCTAAACTCAGCTTTGAGAAATGACTACGTGAAAAGTGTATGACAGTATTACCATCTGCCAGCAAATAAGTCAGCCAAGTTCATTCATTTGAGATCACCAAATGCTGTGTCACGCTGTGAGCTGAAGCACGTCTTGGGAACTTGAAACGTCCAGTTAAATTCCAGTCACAAATCTCCCTGCTGACCCACTCCATGGATTAAAATGCAAGCTTCTCTATTCCAAATGTTTCAAAATTCACTTTATTTTCAGATTAAAATTGAAACCCTCAGTTTGAAGATATGGAAGGTTTCCCATAATGTGATAATGAAGCTTCTACCAAATTTCCTTTTCAAATCCCTTAACTTTTCTGAAAATGCTGGGAAGAGCAATCCTATGGCTCCTAGCCAGCACTTAGAAGGCACACAGTATTCTTCAGATTTCGAGACCTTAGGTCATAGACAGTGTTCTGACTGCAGAGTGGGGGATCTCTGTTTGAATATGTACTCCCTCCTCAGAACCAGCACAGAAAGAACTGCGTAAGTTCCTTCTCTGAGGTCCTAAGAGCAACTTGAAGGAAAGGGTAAAAGGGTTGTTCTGCTGGGCAGGGAAGGAGAACAGGGCTGCCAACAAACAAGGTATCCCCTCCAAAGTGCTGTAGCTGGAGAACTGAAATTGGGTGTTGCTGAACTGCAGAGTAGCAGGAGAAGGAAGCAGAGATTGCTTCTTCCATCTTCCTTTCCCTGCACTGGATGCCCATATTCCTCCAAGTTCAGAGGCTTACAGATATCCTGACTGGATTGCACTCTTAATTTTTTTTCTGTCTCACTTTCAGGTTAATTATCTATCTATCTATCATGATAAAAAGCAGAAAAAATGACCCATGACTCCATTTTCTAGTACAATGCACTTTTCTAGCATAATACAGTTCTTTGCAGCACTGATTTCTGCAAAGGGCCATGAAGAAAACATTGGGCTACTTCAGATATAATCACAAGTGGGAATGAGTCACAAGATGACAATGTGCTCTCATGGTCTCTCCTAATTCCAATTCCCTCACTTAGTTCTACAGGATCGCAGCAAACCAAAATTTGTATTTCATTCAAACCAAGCAAATTGTCATGCCCAAAAGCCACCAGAGAAAACCAGACTTTACACTAGTTGTAGGAATGCCTAATGTCACTGATGATCTACAACATTAACTTTGAAAATTTGACATGTATATAAGTGGGTGTGTTTTAGGTTGGGAGCATTTGATATGCTGGAGTATCAAACACAATAAAATACAGAAATACAATACAAAATTGTGTACTGTACTGTAGAGTTCTTGTCAGCTAATAGGAAAGGCTAGCAGTACATTTGCCTGACTTTCCTGAATATATTCCAAAGAGACTTCAGGCAGACTGAGGAACTGAATACTCCCCATGAACATTCATGTCTGTAATGTCATGCACAGTGAGACCAAAGGATGCTGGAAATGAAAACCTATGGAATGAACATCAATTTGGCAAAGTCAAAATTCAAACTAGAAAAATAAGAAGCTTCACTGAACCTTCTAACACTCAATAACAGAGGGCAAGGTGGGGAAGAAACGAACCTCTGAGGCTATCAAAGGCTCTAATTAACATGGCAGAGCAAAAGCAGTCTACATACACAATTTAGTCAAACATAGGAGGACGAAAATCAACCATTAGGTTACAGAGCAGAAGACGCCAGGAGAACCAGACAGCCATGCATTCACCTAGGGGCACATATGTATTTGTGGCACATCTATGTATGGCACACCTTTCCATACATATTTGTGGTGCATATATGGCACACTTATGGACTACTTAGATTTACATGAATTTGCACTGGTTTGAATACATTAACTTAAGTTTTAGTTTTACTTGATCTGCGTATGTGAT